TTTTTGAAATAATTAGTGAGACCAATTATTGTCAAACCCTCTGAAATGGATCACTCTGTATATCGTGTGACAATTGCGGGAAGTGAGGTAATTCAGAGGCGGGTGACATGTGTGGTATGGGCGGAACACAAAGGTTTTTTGTCATGCCTTTGCATTCATCGATCATAGCAAAGGTAATGCGGGAATCTATGCAACAACTAGACTATTTTACGAAAACAATTTTAATAATATAGATGATATAATATAATATAATATAATATAATATAATATAAGATGTAAATAAAAATGTATGTTTTGTAAAGACCGTGGTATAGAAAAAGGTCGCTTTCCGACGCGAACTAAACTTTCGGTGAAAGCGTAACTAAAATGTTTGTCCACATTAATTAAAAAAAATTTCATGGTTAGAAATAATTTAAAAAGAGTCGAAATATTTTAAAAATTGTACTATGTTTACCCTCAGTAATACTCCTATGCCTAGTTCACTTCTATGCCAAAAATCCTTTAAATTTACGCACTAATCGATTTACAATATTTTATTTTTACAAATAGCTTAATGGCAAAAATTAATTTAAGCGACTACGCACATTTAAACATATATTTCAACAAACAAAGACGACAAACATTTTTTGAAAATCAATATTTTGGAACTCATAATATTCTTCAGAATTTGTGATTTTTCAATTTTACGCTGCCCGCGCACAACGCTGTACTTAACTACCGCGCGCCGTGCCTATAACAAATTTTGATTTTTTTACAAAAACTTATAACTAGTTTTTCAATTATCTTCGGGTAGACAACAGGTAATAAATATATTGTAACCTTGCCAGTTGAGTAACACTAGTAGTGGCTCCCATCGGTCCCAACCGACCCCATTCGCCAAACTGTTGTATTGGGGCTCCGTCCCCCAAACTCTTTGAGGGTGTGAAAATAGTCCACCTGACCAATTAAATTAGAAAGGTAATCGCTATAATTGTTACACAATAATTCTACATATTAGATGGTTTTTGTATATTTTGACAAAATATAATATTTATTGTATAATATTGAAAATATTAAATTATAAATCGTTTTTTGGTAAACTTGTAACACATTTGTGTCGTCTTTTTCAAACAAAACTAATTCAGCAATTAAAAAAAAAATTGCTTTCCATTTCGTTACTAATTCAGCTATTGAACTTATTTTTAATAATGTGTATACTTAACAAATGATAATTATCAATTAAAAGACTTGATGAAGAAGTATGTTTTTTTACGTCAATCTAGTATTATTGTTAACATTTTGTTTCATATTTATACTATTTTTACTTCACATATTATATTGTATAGAATATTATGATACTTAGTGCATAAATATAAATATTCAACTTTAACAACAGTGTCTGTGGCCACTATAAAGATATTATATACATTATACATATTATGTATTAAGACCTTCAAAAGTTAAATATGTAGATATAATCGTTTTTGAATGCAATGATTTATTATTGTTTGAATCTAGTTGTATTTTAAAAAGAAAAATGTCTGCTTAGTATAGACAATAAGTAGGGAGTTAAGTTTATTAATATAGGTACTAATGCTAAATACTAATACTTTAGGTATTAATAATTTATTAATAAATGGTTCAATTTTTTCATATTTTATATACTATTAATATAAACATTGCATGCATGCATTTAATTGTGATTATTAATACATTACAACAATTTTATTCCATTTTTAAATTAATAATAATACAGTAAAACCTGTGTAATATGGAACCCGAATAACATGGAAACCTGACTTTTATGGAAAAATGTTACGGTCCCGGCGAACCTAATGTAGTTTTAAATACATCATTCCCTGAATAATATGGAACCTGTTTAACGTGGAAATGGAAACAATATTTTGTCATGAACCTGTATATCATGGAAATATGTACATGTACTATTTTAAAATTATCAGTCAATGAATATAATCTATATCAATTATATAGATTATTTCGTTGCAATAAGTTTATTTTATCGATTAGTGTCGTAGTAGTGTTCTGACGTAAGGTGCGTATAGACGTATATTCAATATGACGTCCAAAAATAAATGTTTAACACTAAATGAAAAAATTAAACTAATTGAGTCAAGTGAAAAAGATAAATTAACAGTAAAACAAATTTGTGAACTTTTCAAATGTGGAAAAAGTCAAGTGTATAATATATTAAAACAAAAAAATGAAAAATTTAGTAGAAAAGAAAATGGCAAGTCAAATAACAAAACAAAAAACATTGGATGAATTTTGGAGTAAGGATTAATAAATAATATGTAAAATATATGAAATAAAAATGAATTAATAATAAATAATAAATTATATGTAATAAAGATCTATTGTTAATTTTTTTTTTTACAACCTGTATTAAATGGAAACCTGTCTAAAATGGAAAAAATATCCGGTCCCAACCGTTTCCGTTTTACACAGGTTTTACTGTAAAAAAAAATAGTATTTACCCATTTTCGTAGGCCCAAAAATGTCCGTAAGCCTTAGTGCTTATAGTGCCTATAGTGCCTATGTGCTAATACTAATACAGCCTTGGTAGTCAATGGTATTATTTGATGGATTTTGTATTGAAAAATAACTCGCAAAAGAAAATATGAAGAACGCTTACCAGAAAATATTGTTTTTTTAATTTCATTAAACTGTATAAAATAGATCTATTTACTTTATGTATGTGGCTATCTTATTTTAAATAACATTCCTAAGTCTGCAATTTGGCTTCTGTGTTACTATAATAAGAGTAAACATGCATTAAATATGATTTATTAATTAAACATGTTGTAATAAATAACTAATGAGTAAACCCACTTTGTGTTGTTGTTAAGTACTAAAAAATCTTGAATTACATTAGCCAAAATTATATACCTATCAATTTATCTTGTTGCTGCATATAATACCTTGTGTCATATTATATAAAATATTAGGCTACTTGGAGGGGAGTGATGGACTTAAAAATAAAATTTGTCTCAAAAAACTATTTTACCATCTCTCAAATGTGTTTTTCCCTAGATATATTAAGTGATTTTTAAGGGTGTAATGTCCACTTACTTAGAAATAAAATGTATAAAACACTCTAACTTCAAATAAGTAATTACTAAACTAAGTAACTCATATTTTGCACCTAATAGAAATAAAATATAATATTACGTTAAAAAAGAATGAACATTGTTTTTTTTTTTTTTTATTTGATTACTTTAATTTTTAACAGTGTCAAAAATTTCTCTAATATTACAATTTATTTAATAATAACCTTTTTCTCTATATTTGCATGGTAAGTACCTTCATAGTTCATACTGCAATGTAGGGGTGCACTAAAAAAGGATTTTTTAAATATGATGGGCTTACTCAATAACTTTTGCTTTGGCAACTGGAAATGGAATTTTTTTTCGAAAATACAGAGTGATTTTTTAAGCTTCCTCATGCCCATTTTTGCCTTCAAATATTGCATATATTCAAATTTTGATTTTTAGAATTTTTAGGTAAACATACCTAAAGACCATATTTTCAAATTTATTACATTTTTTGTATTACTTAAGGAGTGCCCTGTTGCGGTACAAACTCCTTTTTTCTAACGAGTACCCACAATTTTACTGCAAATTGTTTAACTGATGATTTTTTTGAACACTTTGATGTACCTTTCAAAATCAAAATTATAATGAGTAGTTCTAGAATTATTAAAATGTTTATACTAAATAAAATAATCTTCAAAAATGATTTAATAAAAATAAAAACTTAACGTCATATTAGATGAAGTTTTTTTTATGCTTGTATTATTTTTACAAATTGTTTATATTGATAAACCAATTGTAATACTAACTTTTTTTTATAGTCTAAGCCTCTTTATCTTATGGATATATTATTACACTTATATAAATTGTAGAAAGTTTAATATATTTAAATTGTATTAATTACACCTATGTCACTGTTTAAAAATACTATGTTTCAATACTAAATATATAATTAGCAATTCATGAAAATAATAATTTATCACACTGTAAGAATTAAAATCAATCATTATTAAAAATAAATACTGTCCCAAATACTATACTCTGTTAAGAAAGTTAAGAAACACCGTCGTCGGTGACCAGTTTTCGTTGGGCTGCAGTCAGGCCACACCCGTTTATCACCTCCACCAGTCAATTGTTCATATACTTGCTTCGGCTTGAAGTATTGCCAAGCCCTTGCACACCAGTCGGCTGCCAACTATATTTCTTAATTTGAATAGAGTATACTAATATGCGCTTAGGGATAGATAATATAGTTATATTTAATTTAATAAAACCCAGAAATTGTAAATAGTGGTATTGTCGAGTAATTTCAGTTTTAATTCTTTAGTCAGTGACGTGGTGAACTGTGATTTCTAAAGTGATTGCCTCTGATATTTTTCTTAAAGAGGGTCGGGTGGTAGCTGGTGGGTCCTTCAGTAAATGTAATATGATAATATAGTCAATAGGTAGTCAATGATTATCTGAATTGTATTGTATTAATATATTATTATGCATTAATACTTGGTTTATTTGAAACTTGCCTCTGGAAAATGATCTGTTTGCTATGCCACTGTGTAGCATTAGAAAAATAATTTTGATTTTTAAAAAGAAAATGTATACCATATTTCTACCTTTAGACCCTTAGCTTGAAGGAATCTTTTGATACAATTTTTATTCAAAGTGGTTAAAATTGTTATTGAGTTTAAAGTGGATAAACAAAAAAGAAATTCATTTTTTACATATCTATACTCCAGCTTTATACCTGTATTAACTGTTATTGCCGGGCTAAAATGAATCTGAGATATGGGCTAAAAATAAGTCAACAACTATTGTATAATACCTTGTCAAAACAATTATTATTATCATAAAAAAAAAAATTAATCAGTAATAAATGAAAAATACAAAAAAAATGTTTAATTTATTTGTTAAGTTTAATCTATATGATCATCTATAAATTTGTCCATGTTGATAGAAAATTAATAATTTCTTAATTTACTTTAATTTCAGTTTTTCTAATTGAAGTGAAGATATATCTGGGACGATACCACTTTGATACTTCTCATATAATTTTTTTAAATAATTATATTTGTTTTGAAATAGCTGCTTTTCATTCTCATAATAACCATCTAGATATTCATCCCAAAACTTTTCTCTTTTGTGACGTGCCTTGAGATCTCCATCAGTAAAAACACCATATTGTACTATTAATTCCAGTGTTCTGTAAAATATAATATAAATCATTATTTTAATTTAAGCTTGAATTTAAATGATATATTATTATATAGGTATAAATACTTTTTGGAAAGCATTTCTTCAGCTGAAACTGATGTTGGGTAGTTCTTAATGATTTCAACATATTTTGCAAAGCCAACTAAAATATAATTTTTTATTGAATTCATAAAATAATTTAAATTCAAAATATTTGTATGAGTATTGGGCTTAAAATAGTAGTAGTCTAGTTAGCTTAATGATTGTCTTAAAGTTAAAAATTAAAAATTATTGTTATACCATTGACGAACAAAATGAGAATTGTGTGTGTTTAGAAGTAGCCGTTATTACCTTTAATTAATGACTGCTGATTATTGACAAATATTGACGGAACAGCTCCTAATTTCAATTTACAGTAGCCAAATGAACTTCTCAACCGATCTTTTAGTCTAAAATGTCCCGAACATATGCGAAGGTTTCTATTAGGTACAAATTGATCATATTTTTTTATTGCAGCTATCCATTTGTTATGAAGAGTGGAATTCAATGGAAACCTAAAATTTAAAATGAACAAAATAAATTATGTTTTTAATTCAAAATATTAATATATTTGTGTATAACTTACGGGTGTAATTGAATATTCCAAGAATTTGCTTCTAATTGACACGAATCCACACAACATTTTAATCCCATTTTAATTTATTATTTTATTTCAGTACAGCTTGAAATTATGGTTTTGGTCAACTAAAATGTAAAATTTTAGAATTAATAATTTATTACTTTTACACAATGTGAAAACATTTACAAACAGTAAGCACAATACACCATAGACATTCATCGATTAATGAAATGGCTAGTATTAAAATACTATACTTAGTGTAGTTGAAATGCATAAAATATCATCAAAAGTTAAGCTTAAGACAATCATCATGTTTATATTTTATAGAGATAATAATAAAATAAGATAGGTAGCTGATAAATCAAAACAAAAATTAATAGCGTGTTCGGAAAATGAATAAATATATTTGTGTCTCACAACTGTCTTAAGTGGCCATTTGCAATCACGATTTATTGAATATTGATTAAAGATATCTGATATATAATATCTCAAATTAATCATACAGGTAGTAAGTTAGCAGTCAACAATATGTAAAAAATTGTTGATGTCCTGAGTGACACACACACAGTTTATTACCAAAAATCAGCTGTTTAGTATTGGAAGAATCATAACAAGCGCTCTTACTTCACAGTGTATGACTTCATTAATCATTATATAGGTGATTCACCAGCATGCTCATAACTTTTTTTTCATCAATACTGTAGTTAAAATATTTCTCAACTTTTCAGTGAACTTTTTTTTATAAAGATGGCAAAATCTTCTGAGGATCTTATGAGGAACCCTTGCATTACATTTTTAAGCTTTTTTTTAATAAATGAAAAATGTATTAACAACAGACAACAATAATAAATTTAAAACAAATTTAACTACTGTGCATTTCAATTTTGACCTCTCAAAAGTACCGACTAAATTCATTTTTCTATTAGAAAAGATACTGATTTTGAAAATTCTAGCACTAATATTACCCCAAATTTTGATAATCAAAAAAAATTGTAAAAACACACAACATTGTAAATACAATACTTATATGTATGTTTGTAGCTATATACATCGCTAGTCGCTACGCTCAGAATCTGAAACAACTCTAAACCGTGGACGCGCAACTGTATGTTGGAAGCTGTTAACAAAATCCTTACAAAAATATTGAATGAGTAACGAGACATATGGGTACTATATTATTTTTGTCACCCCCACGTTGAAATCACCGCCCTGTAACCCCTCCCCCGCCAATCTAGATACACCAAAACTTCGAAAACATACATTGAATCTCAAACAAGTTGGTTGTCAATTTTTACCACTATTTACCGAGAATAAACAATTTAATGAAGCCAAATCAATAAATCATATTACAAGAACATTAATTACCCAGACGATATTTCAGAAGCAGGTGTTCAGGACGGCTGCAACAGGTACACAGATGGAAGGATAAAACGAGGCCGGCCGCCGAAAAAAATACTGAGACGATTGTACAGCGGTGTGAGGTGATACTGATAACTGACGACTTTCAGTAAAAATTTAAAACGTATAACATTGACACGTCATAATATTTCCACCATAACAAAATAAATAGGTATAGCGTATAGGTATGTGAGCATAAACAGATTTGGAAGAAAAACGCACCCTCTACCACCCTCTTTCCGGCCACGAAGGTGTATACTCGTGGGGACAATATTTCGACGTTTCTCATTGGTCCAATTTTTAATCACGAACACAAGTAACTTGAATGATAAAGTTAATATTATATCAAATAATTAATATTTATACTACATGGATATATTATAATATATTAATTTTTAACCTACTCAAATATAATAAACAACTTTTTTATACATTATACTTTATACTTATACATTTATACTTATATATACAATTATGTAACTGAAATTTAATGATAATGATCTACATTGAATTTTGATATGAAGTTAAACGTTTTTAATTATTGGTGGGACTATAATCGTTAACTTAGGTAAATTAGTTCTTACCTAGTATTTTTAATTTTGATGAATCTACCGAAAATTTAATGCCATAATGCATATTATAGCTGATGTGCTAATAGAATACTTATTACTCAAGTATTTTAAATACTTTGTTCAAGTACTTTTTCTCAAAACTATTTAAAATACCTATTTGAGCACTTATGTATTTCAAAAGTATTCAAATACTTTTTTAAAGGTTATGTATTTAAAATCAAATATTTTTTCTTCTTAGTCAAAATATTTTCTACCTATTTTTAATCAAATTTAACATCAAAATTCTAAACAAATTATGTTAGGTTGATCTATTAGGTTAAAAAATTTGTAGCTTAACATTTTTAAATAATTTGAAAGTACCTAACTAAAAATACTTTTGTCACAGAGAATTTTTTTACAAAATATCTCTTGTGATTTTAATCAATATTTTATATTAAATCAGATAAGTAAGAACATACAAACATACACATTTATAATGATTTTTATTGTACATATGACAACATTTCATACAAATTTAATATTTTATTTTTATATAGAGCCGCCATGAACCCCTGACATAATGTTATGACGGGACTACAGTTCAAGAACCTGCACTGATATTAAGTATAATAAATTAATAACCAATGCACAGACTACGAAGAAAAAAAAAGAAATAAACAACTGTTTTTAATTATTATAATAACTGTATTTAACATGTTTTATCATAAATAGTGGACATTATTACAAAATATGCTTATTAAATTTTAATTACAATGTTTTTTTAAAAAATTATTTTCAGATATAGATCCTCTTTTTTCACTTAATAACTGGCCACCCACACTGAACTGTGGTCTATGTGAGTGCTTGAAGGAACGACAGTGTTTTACTTAATAAATGCATCGTTGTAACTACTTTCAATGGTCTTGGAATCGTCAAAGATTAAAAAAATCATCATAACCATCTTATTTTTCTGTATTTGTAGGTATTGGTGATGTTTCTTGGGCAAATATTAGCATTTTTTTTTTGTAGATAACTCCTTTTAAAGAGGAACTTTATTTTCAACTTCTCAATTCCATTAATTCGTAACCACTTGAAAAAAAACTTTGTAAAAAAAATATGACTGTTTCCAATGATCCAAAACAATAATCGTTAAGATAGATTAAGAAGAAATAAATGTCTAGTTGTAAATTGATCTACTATGAGCTACCTAATTAATAAGCTATTAATTATTCGTTAAATCATCATATAAATAAGTGAAATAATCCATCTATCTGTCACATTTGTACTTTAGATTTTACCTGTAATTTATGATTTAAGGTAGGTACAATATAAACAATTAATATTACTTCAAATAAATTAAAATTTTAAAAACACTTATCACTTACCTATTGATTATGGTGAATTGTATGAACCAAAAGTCAAAAATTAAATTAGAAAGGATAGAAAGTTAAGAATGTAATAGTATAGTTCAGATTTTTTTTCATAATACTGAATAGGCCCTAGTCCGTTCCTGGAATTACACATTGTTGAAAAAAATTGAGATTGCTAAACTAGAATTTTTGCAATATTAATACCCATGACCTGTTAACTACGCCACTGCCTGTATTAGTTATATTAGTATCCTATTGTATACATTCATTTAAGAAATTATTAGCCAGTATCTAGTTACTAATTAAGAAATTCAAGTTATTTATTCGACTTTAATTATAAATCAGTGTATATTTTTACTCCTCTGATTTATTTTGTGTGAACACTTCACGATGAATTAAATAACAAATAGTTCTAAAAATGAAAAAACAATAATATTATAAGCCACATTTAACTATTCTAGTCTCTAGAAGACCGTGCTAACACAATTTGACTTACATTCATTATAAACATACGCTTTTAAACATATTACATGAGTGTAAGTTTCAGTAAATAGTAATGACTAATGACGACAAAGCTATGTTTTACATTTTGCTTGTTGATTCTTATTTTTTTTTAAACTGGAATTTATTCGGAATTGAAAATTAAATATTTTTAGCCTTAAGGTGTTGATTATAATATTAATATTATAAATTTATTATTTAGAAGCTTATAGGTTTGTAACCATTAATACTTGATAGAAATTTTATACCTAGTTTTAATATGTTCGGTGAATACTCTCTATAACAAATCTGAAGTGACCAAAAAATTTCTTTTGTTTTAGAGAGTGTATAAAAAAGAAAAATTTGAATTATTTTTGTATAAGAATGGTACCTATGTATTATTATTTAGACATCAATATTTTTACATTACATGAGTATATAATTATGTATTTATTATTTTATTAAATTATATTAAATTATTACACATAATATTATATTTGATGCAATTATTTAAAATAGTCTAATCTTTGTTTGAACTTGATTACTCTGTTAATATTTTATTTTTATTTTTCTATGAGTTTGTCATGCGAGTAATGCAATGAACATGTTTGATGAACGATATTATTATGATGATAAAAGTAGATAATTAAAGAATTCAAACGTTTTTGGAAGTCTTGGAATTTTTGTCTATTACTTTTATTATTTATAATATGATAATACGTTAAGTTTATTATAAAACAAAAAATATTGTTTAGTTATTGAAAGTGACACGGGTAATAATAATAATAATACACAGTCATGACAGGACAGCTAGTTGGGCAATAAAGCAATCCAACCATTATTATGTAATGTTTACGTTAGAGTTTTTTGTTGTAAAGTTTCGTTATAAATAGTTTTCACTGTATATTGAATTATATAATGTTGTAGATGTGTAACAAACTTTAACCTAGGTAATTTTTGTATACTTCATGTTTAACATTAGAAACTTAGAAATATGTATTATGTTTTATGCATAAACAATTAGTAACTACCATTTTACCAACAGGTCTACCTCAGTGGTGAATTGAGTCAATGTATCTAATTTATTAATTTATATTATTTTATTAATTTTGTATAATATATTATACATGAAGTATTTAACTGTTTTCTTGACAAATAAATTATTATTATATCATAATGTATTAATGAGTAATCACATTTTGTATTATTCAGTAAGTGTTAACTTAAATTTAAAATAAAACTCATTAAATCTATTGATCTAAAATTAAATAAATTTACTTCTAAAACTTAGATATTTACATTTTAAAATTATTTGAAAGTATAGATTA